GGGGTGCAAATGGTAAAACAGGAGACCCCTCCAGGGACCTGCCACACTGGAGAGTCGCCTGGTCCTTGGCCAGCTTCCGCTTCGGTGTTGGCGACTCCTTCATGGCTGAGTCAGTTGACAGAAGCTGGACAAGGGTGCTGTGTGCGCTCTGTCTGTCCCTCACCATCCACCTCTTCATCTCTGCTGCCTCCAGCCTGCCTGGGCACCCGTCACCGAGGAGGCCTTGAGCCCTGTGCGCCCTTCCTCCCTGGTCCTGGACTTGGGGTCCTGCCCCTCACTATCCAGCTCCCTCCCTGTGTCTCAGCCCAGGAAGTGTCCCGAGTCGCAGTGCTGTGTTCCTGGTGGCTGTGCACCATTTTCACTTGAGTTGCACAGTCATGGGGAGCTCCTGCTGCACCCCTGAGCGAGTGTCAGGAGCCCTGACCCTCTGCTCACGGCGGAGCCTGGCACACCTGCTCTCTGGCACATGGCAGCATGGGGTGTGTTGTGCTGAGTACGTAATAATGCAAATGGCACATAATTTTCCCAAGTTCACATAGGAGGAGTGGAGTAGACACTGGGCATACTGTCTCTGTGCCATGTATGGTCATCTGCTTTTATCTAACAAAACTGTGCATAAGGTACCGGTCACAAGTTTCTTTTTAAAATTGTTCACACCTACGGATTCGTATGCCCAGGTTTCTCTGGACGGCGAGATTATGGGTGATTTGGGTGATTTTTCTTTTCTTTTGGTGCTCTCCAATTTTTCTGTAATATAGATGGGTAACTTTTACACATAGTAGAGAAAAAATAAGTAAATTAGTTTAGCACTAGACACCTTTAAACAGGAGGAGGAGAAACGTGTCAAAACAGAACCGCCGCCCGCCCTCCTGAGGGCCGGGTGCCTCGGCCGCTTCTGTTGCCGGAGGAACTATGACCAGGCTGCAGCAGGTGCTCGGGCCGGAGTTGTTTTCTTTGGCCTTTGGACACTCACAGGGGCTTAGCTCCAGGGCAGGTGAATTTGATCTGATGTAATCATGAAGCTCAACTTAAGAAGGTTTTCCCTTACAAAAGTATTTATGATGATATAACCAAGCACTTTATTTTTACTTGACCCAGAACTCCTTTCGTTGCCTTCACCATATCCATGGCTGCGCCCACGCGTCAGTGCCCCCACCCCTGTGCATTGCGACCATCCTTGGTCTTACCAATTAAAGCAGCTAAGAGCAGTGAAATGCTTTATTACCCGAAGGCGCTTCCCACCCCCTCCCGGTGTGGGATCGAGCTCCTCCCCTTTGCTCCTGCTTTCTGTCAGTGACGTGTCCCCACGGCAGCATCTTGAGCAGGTCTTCATGGCACCTGCTTGCCTCGCTTTTCCTTACCTGTCCAGGCTGTGCCCTCTCTGTACTTGGCACGTACACAGAGTCCTTTTCAAAGGTGAATTACATCTAAGACGCGATGGTGTATGTTCACACTTAGACCCTACAGGCCAAAGGGACAGGACACAAGGAACAATAGGTAAAGATTGAGAGGAGAATTTTGAGAGCTTTAGGGAAAAGCAAAGGGGCCATTTTCCAAGGGATTAAACATATCTGCCTAATGCTCTTACTGCCATCTGAATAACCCAGAGAGAAACGGATGCCTTACCTTGGAGGGGGCTCTACCGTGCTTTCCAGAAGGTGATTAGATACAAGGAGTAGGTTGTTTCCATCCACGTGGACAAGTTATACTCACAGGTTGTCCTCGGTGACTGCTGGAGTAACCCATTTGGGTAAATAAACTGGCCACTTCCTTGATCTCATTTGCCTGGGAAAAATACTTATTTTTTCATGTTTGTCTTCTGAACAGCACCCTGGGGGGGAAGAAGTCCTACGGGAACAGGCTGGAGGGGATGCCACCGAGAACTTTGAGGACATCGGACACTCATCGGATGCTAGGGAACTGTCCAAAACATATATCATTGGGGAGCTGCACCCGGTATGTTCCTTTTGGGGGCCTTCTTTCTCTTTAAGGCTGTGGGTTGACCTTGCTCAAATCTGTAAACTTGCACATTTAAAAAGGAGTCAAGTAAAACAGTTCCTCCTGATTTTACAACACCATTTTCGTCAGAAACATTTTTGTCGTTGTAAAACTATAACCCAGTCTTCAGAGTGGGCAGCAGCTACTGGGGCAGGAGCAGATTCAGGGGACTACTGCTACAGCCATGGCCCAGAAATCTCTTCGCATTTCCCTAGTTGCGTGTTCCGCTGGCATTCAGAGCAGGCGTCCTTCTAACCCAAGGCCATGCCCTGGGGATGGTGTGCCTGGGCCTCGGACCCTGAAGAGTCACTGAGCAGCAAGTCCTAGCAGGTGGAGGGTATAAACTCAGCCTAATTCTATTTTTTATTGTTTTCTTTTTTGACCAAAATATTTTTTTAAGGGCCTCCCTTCTGTTTTTATTAGTTTGAGACTATTTTATTTAAACAATGATTTTAATTAAAGAAACAACAACACCTCTGTTAAATGAGTAGATTCTGCCTTCTTTAAAACTTCACCCTGGTCATTTGGGGATATCCCCACTGGCCCCTGTCCGTGCACCGGCCTTGAGGAAACACGGGTCTGATTCAGCTTTTATTTCCAGCCAGGGCTGTGTATGGATCTAGGCCCCTCAGTGGCATTTGTAAATGGCCATGTATAACTGCTAGGCTGCCCAGTGCAGTCATCAGGAAAACAGTTGCAGACTTGGGCAGAAGCAGTGGAACTGTCCGGGGCCTTGCTGCGCGGTGCGCGAGTGAAGGGGCGGGTAGAGGAGGCCCTTTAGGGCAGCCCGCGGGTGGGGACCATTGTAGAGCGCTTCCGTATTCCCGGTGAGTGGGGACCTGGGGTGTGGGGTGGTGGAGATGGTACTTGGGGAAAAGCTTCCTTTATCTGGAGACTCGGTTCACCCACATGCCTTCATCTTCATACATCACTAAAGGGGAGCAGTTTCACGGTGGTCAGAGGGCAGCCCTAAAGCGTTCCATCCTGTCCTTACGCTTCCCTCCAAAGCCATGAGGGTGGAGTGGTGGCTTTTTAGGCCGTGACTGCAGCATTTTTGTCTCACCTGCCTACTGGGCTCACCTGTGGTTTGCTTGAGACGCACTTTATTTTGGGGAGACTCAGCCAGAGGTTTAAGTAGATTATAACCCTACAACTGGAAGATTGCAGGAATTACTGAGGGTATCACACAAATGGTACATATACACTCAGATACATGCACATATATATACACACAGTGCATATACACGTGCACATGTATACAATGCATATACACGTACATGCGCGCACACACACAATGCATATATACGTGCACATACGCATGTACCTGTGTACATAATGCACACACACGTTCACACGTACATACGCATATACACACATGCATATATACATAGTGCATATACACACACATTTCCAAGGCAGTTTGAGAGGTTAGAAGGGTAGAATCTGATTACGCAGCTGCTCCCTGAATAAAGATCAGAACCCGGGTCTAGTGAGTACACACATATGAGCACGTAAGAATGACTACCGCGGATGCTGTTCTAAGCGTAGAACTCTAGCTCAAAATGCCCCTTAGCACTTAATCTGCTAACGGTTTTGCAGTCAAATCAGCTGATCAAACTCTGTTCATCGGCCTAGAAAGGGGAACCTGAAATGGTAACTGCTGAACAGTCATGTGTTTTAGAAATCTCAGTAAATGAGCACTTTGGAAATAGTACTTTTGTAGACATTTCCCTTCTGTGATGAGCCTTGTTTTTCATTGCAGGATGACAGACCAAAGATAACCAAGCCTGCGGTAAGTGTGCCCCTCTCGGTGTCTCAGTGGCCAGTTTCCGTCCCTGTGTCCAGTCCCTGCAAACTGGAGGGCAGAAGTCCCTTACTGACCTGACTGAGGCCAGCATGGGTGTGTTTTTAGTTTGGATGAACATGTAACCTGTTGGGTTGGCTTGGCGAACTTCTCTATTTGTACAGACCAACCGTTATGTTTCATTAGGAGAGTTGTGTGGTCTCTTCAGAAGATTCTCAGTACTTAGAATAATTTTCCCATCGTGATGATCAGTGGACCCTGTTCGAAGAGCTAGCTCCTTTTTATACCCAGCTCCGTGCCCCTGGAGTGAAAGATTTGGCTCCGCCCTGTTTTCAGAGAACTTAAAATCTGACTGAGCAGAGGTCTTAGCACTTAAACCATTGAGGACACCACCCAGGTCTTCATCTCCATATCCTGAGATATAGCAGATGTTGAATAAATACTTACTGGGTACATTTAATGTTGTTTAAATTGAATAACTTTTTGGTGTATTTTTCCTTAGGAAAGGGAAATAATTCTGGTGATACTAATTTTGTGGCTGGTTCTCCAGCCCTTCTCTCTGAGCCAATCCTCTCACCGTTGAAGATAAATCCATAGTAAGAACTGGTGACAACAGCCAAAGTCCCTGAACAGTGCAAGTAGGAAAAATAGCCCTGGGCCTGTAATTAAAACAAATGACAGAAAGTACAATTTTTCTGCTTTGGTTTATGCTCTTAGTTTTATCAGAGAGAGCGCAACAGTAAGACTGCACGGGGCTCGCATTAGGAGCTGGTGAACTCGTTTACCAGCGCTGTTTATAGGACGTTGTCTGAATTTAATCAGCAAGAAAATGGAGCAGTTACTCCAGCAGAGCGCAAAGGCCACGTCTGCCTTGGCACCCCAGATAGTACAGTGAAGTCTGGGGTGCCCTTTCATTTATACTCTCTCCTTTCCCTGTTAATGGAAGGCTTGAGTTCAGTGCTGGTGAGTTCAGTGCTTTGGGAAGATAATGAATGGACTTCAGACTTTGAATTGCCTCTGTGACGATTGCTTAGAATCTTTGCTGTTGGTTCCTATGGCTTTGGTACCTTTTTTTTTTTCTTTCTTAATATGTCTCTGTTGATTTCAGAGAGAGGAAGGGAGAGGGAGAGAGATGGAAACATCAATGATGAGAGAGTCATTGATCGGCTGCCTCCTGCACGCCCCCCACTGAGGATCGAGCCCACAACCTGGGCATGTGCCCTGACTGGGAATCGAACCTGTAACCTCTTGGTTCCTGGGTCGATGCTCAACCGCTGAGCCACCCGGCTGGGCTATAATATGCGAATTTTGAAATCATTTTGTGGTAGTTGTGTCTACTTTTTGTAGTCTCTAGGAATGAACATTGCTCAAAAAGATAATAAATGTCAAATTTTTCTTTTCAATGACTTATTTTTCCCCCTCCTGTGTCAGGAATCTTAACGGCCATGTTCCCAGGTTGGTGGGTCTGTGAGCTGCTTTGCTTGCTTGTCCCTAACAGCTTTCCACCCCTTAGTGGAGCTTGGGCGCGCTGCTGTGTGGAGCTTGCCTCGATGCACCCTGCATGCCGCCCCCTTGCTGCTGGCGTTGCTAACGGTGTTCTGTGCTGTGCGCTGGGACCCTGCAGAACTGAAACGCTGCTGCCTCATTTATGGCTCCTTCCTCTGCAGCACTAATGCTTTTGCTGGTGTGGATTTCAAAAGGTGCTCCTTAACACATTTGCAAGCCTGGAAGTTTCTGTTTCACTAGGCTTGTAGCCATGCGGCTGTGGGGAAGTGTGCGTTTTCTAGTGGCTCAGGTCACTTTCCTGGTGCTGACATGAGCTCTCAGGAGCTGTTGGGAGGTGGACAGGCCGGAACTGTGAGAGACCCCAGTGCACAGGGCGTCCTTACCTGGAGGTGACAGTGCGAGGTCAGCCCCCAAGGCCCCAGACCCCAAGGCCTCCAGTGTCATTCTAGAACTGTCTTGGAGTTAAAGAAAGGTTGTCCAGTGTTACCGTTTACATGGCAATTTTTTGGCTGACACGCCTTTTAATACAATTTGGGGACACTTTTACTTCATATAAGATTTGAATGAAATAAATGTTTTTATTGAACATTTCATTCGTAGTTTTGAAGAATTAAACTCTCCCTAAAGGTAGTGATGGGGTTGTGTGTGCGCGTTTGTGTGTGTGTGTGCGTGCACACGCGTGTGCGTGTGTAGACCACATCTGTTGTCCTTTTCTATGTTAAAGTGTTTAGATATCTGTGTACAAGGTATTTTAATAGCCTATTCGTTTTTAACATTTTCTTTCTAATTCTTAGGTTGTATTTGTAAGTAATTTAAATATAGATCATTCTTTAAAATTTTTTCTTCTGAAAAAAGTGGTGAAATTAGGCATCTTAGTGAAAAGAAGCGAATGATGTAATTTTCCCTTTCAGTGTCTTTTTGAAGGATGCAGGGGTCAAAATACTGTGATCTTATTTTAAAACCGATTTTCAGTCCCTTGTTCCCTTTAACTTATTTTACTTTTTCTCTTGCATTTCAGGAAACTCTCATTACTACGGTTGATTCACAGTCTAGGTACGTGCTAGTTTTCTTTTCAAGTGTTTTTGTGGTCAGAAGGCTCCTAGAATCAGAGTTGAACTAGAGGCCTGTCCTTGACCTCAGGTTCCTCCGATGCTCGGGCTCCATCTGGAGTCACCTCCACTGGGCACCCAGACAGCTCAAGGCATTCCCACCTAGACTGTCACAGCTCAGACCATGGGCAGTCTTCAGAATGACCCCGATCTCCCCCTCCAGCTGCACCTACCCTAGGGGACAGGATAGATGGAACAAACCAGTCTTCTTTTCCCCCAGCGCAGTCCGACGGCCCCCACAACCCTTGGTCTCTAGGCAAACATTTTATCATCTCCTTCCTCAGACACATGGTCAGTCCTTTAAGCTGCAGTGATTCCATCCCTCTGAGCACAACTCGGTTTCCCACAGGCTCTGAGGTTGATCCCTGTGCTCTAGGTGTGACCTGAGTCACCCGTCCTGTGGGCTAGATTTCTTCCCTCTAGTCCAAGATCACGGGGACAGGTTTGGCAGCTCTGTTATATTGCCTTGTATAATTGCCACCATATGTATATGTTTTTTGGACCCAAGCTCAAAACCACAGATTTACTCCTGTTTTATTCCACCCTGTGCAAGCCCATTGCCCTGTCTGCTGGTGTTCTGGTACCTTCCCTGCCTCCTGGAGGTACCCCACCCACCTCACTCTGCACTGTCACGTCCTTCCCTCCGAAAGGGAAACTGAAATCCCACTGAGATGAAAATCACACTGCAGGCCTTCTGCAGTTGAAATCTTTATATTGAGCTTGATCTTTGGGTTCATGTGTGAGAGGATTAAAAGAAAGTGTGTGCCGAAAAGTGGATGGTACCTAGGTGCTGTCTGATGTCGTTCAGGTTCTAAAGCCTATGTATTAATCTCCGTTTCGTAAGAAATGACAGGTTCACATCTGAATTGGAGATCTACCCAACTCTGTCCCTGATTTGACCCGTAATGTGTCATTTATAATAACGCCCGAATTCTGTGCCCGAGAACTGAACAGTATGTCAGGGATCTCCGTGAACACACCCGTGGGCCACAGGTTATGTATTTTGGGCACACTCTTTCTCATCCAGTAAGTCTACTGCACTTGTGTAAGGTTAGATTTTCCAGACAGTCACAGGTGGCAGAGCTGGCGCGCTGGTCAGCCTTCGTCACTGTGCAGTTCAGAGCCTTGCCCTTCCGTCCAGCGCAGGGCGCGGGGTTTGCCCCTGGCGATAGCACTTGCCCATGGCTCTTCCCAAATGGGAACCTTGCCCTCTGGTTCTCAACTTAGTGCCATTTTACGTTCCTAATGAACGTTGGCAACTCGGATGAAACCTCAGGAATATTCCCTTTGTGAGCTTGAGACATGTAACCAGGGTCGATGTCCTTTAGATAACTCACCAGTCCTAGGTCATAGCACCTTTCGCCTTTTGGGGGAGTGACTCATAGCTGTTTTTATAAGTTTATAGAAATAGATTTAATGGGAACTGGGCGGGGGTTCATTGGTTTTCTTATGAGGCTAGAACGATAGCTGAATTGCCGAATACCAGCTGCTCACATCACTTTTAGGGACTCAGAATGGTCTTTCATAGGAGAGGTTGAAAAGGTGATTCTTCCTGGTCATTAGAAGGCCCCGGGACTCGGTCACCTACATCGAACCCCATGAAGCATCACTGCTGTTCCCTTGCAGCTGGTGGACCAACTGGGTGATCCCGGCCCTGTCTGCGCTGGCCGTGGCCGTGATGTACCGCCTCTACATGGCGGAGGACTAGCGCCTCGCCCAAGCCGCTGGGAGGAAGGACTGCTCTGGTTCGGGAAGAAGGGCCAGCGCTCGCTGCTTTCACAGACGGAAACCCTCACCTGGAAAGTAATTTTAATCCACCCGTTTCCCTCTCCTCCTGCGTTAGAAACAAGCCAAACCAAAAAGAACTGTTCTGTCTGCCCTTGAACTTCCACAGTGTGCCTTCCCCTCTGTCAGCGTTATTTCAGTGTCCCACGGCTACACGATTTACTTCTGTAGGCACGGTCTTTCACAAATACACCTGGCTTTTCAAATACACCACCCCGTGTGCCTGTGGATGTGGGATATGATTGTCTTTAATGTTTCCAACCTCTGATTGTCTGGGGGGGTCATTGAACGTGCTGATCCTTCAGGCCCGTGCGGTCTGCGTGACATGAGGGGGGAGTTGCCGGTTCAGCAGCGTGGCTTGCATGCTTCCCGTTTAGTTTCTCTCTCCAGGAAATGAAGAAAGGCCCTGGAAGTGATAGCGTAAGGACTTCTGAAATAGACGATCAAAGAGAAAGCAGCCTGTAGCACCTAGAAAAGAGCCTGTTTCTCTTCTCTGATTAACAAATACTAGCAACGAAAAGCAAACTCCTGACCCAAGAGAGGACATTACAGCTGTCTCTTCCTTCAGCTCAAAAATATCAGTCCAGTGTTTTCAGTTATATAGGCTCTTGAGTTTTGAAAATGCCTCATTTGGAGGCGAAAACTATGTATGTATAAATTCTGGTAAGGAAATGCCGATTCCCTAACCCATAAAAGCACATTTGAAAGGACTGTGGGACATTTGGGGCCTGGTTTTTGAAGTCATTGAGCTGTTGGAGGTGAGCCATGGGGGATTCTGGCTCAGCTCCCGCTCTGGAAAACTGAGTGACTCATCTTTGATGATTTCCTCCACCCTGTGCCTTTGTCTCTCACAGTGGAAGCTGGGGGGTGAATCTGTAGAGGCTCAGTCCCCCTTAGTGGCTGTGACTGTGCCGGTTCCCACGGGCAGGCTGGCTGAAAGCCGGGCACCGGGATCCTTCAGAAACCACTGACACATTGGGAAGGAGTTTTTTATTATTATGGAGTGTAAGTTTTTATAACCATTAGCTTGTTAAAGCGAGAGTGGGGGTGGGGGTGGGGAAGGGTGCTGCATCACGTGGGAATCCTTTATCAGAGTTCAGTAAACGCTCGCCTGGAACAAGGTCACACCTCTTGTGGTGGTCCTGTGGTGCTGACATCCACCCTGAGCTCCGGGACGTCCACAGCATTAGCCTGTGGGCTGTGGTACACACGACATTTTGACGCTCACATAGCGGGGATTTCCATGTCCACTTCCCCAGTGTTTCCTCTGGCATTAAAGGGCAGTTGGTTAACTGCTCAAGAGGCCTTTTTTTCAGCATCATTGTGGTGGGTGTGTCTGCAAAAGGAGCAGTTAAACCTAAGAGATTCAAGTGAGAAATGAGTTCTTGCTGCAGGGCTTCCTGTGACCTTGGAACACGCTCCTGTGGACCTTGCTAACAGACCACGTGGCGTTGCCCTGGGAGAGAGGAAAGCTGGTGGGGGGGCTTGAACAGTTTTCTTGAGCACGTTCAAGTTTTAAAATTATGCCAGGTGAGGTATGTCTTCTTTTGGTTGGTTTACCATTTATTTATATCCTGAAGTTTAGCTGTGGCTTTGCTTTAAGTTTGCTAATGTACATACTCAAGAACTTCGTTAATACTGGAGGTTATAATGGTAATTTTATTATTCATAAAGTACTATTACTCTGTTAATGAAAATTGAGATGAATACAATTTTATGTACTGTAATTACAGCTTAAATGGTTATTGTGTTTATATGTACTATCATTGTCATTTTTGGTAACTGGCACTTTCGAGGGCTTCCTGGATGCCCGACACTGTCCTGAGTAATGGATATGAATCATATCTTCTCTCTTCGTAACTCCTGCCAACTCTCGTTTCGCAATAGCAGAGCTAAGATTGCAACTCAAGCCTGCGCGGCTCCAAATGCATTTCCTTTGACTGCAAGACTCACCGCAGGTTTACACGCACATTGACTGACTTCCACCAGTGTGGGCCGTGCTGCGCACTCGGGGGATGGATGCTGGGGAGCTTCTGTGTCATCACGGAGGTGAGCGCCTGCACACACCACTGTGAGGGGGTACACCAGGAGGCTGAGAGCATCCCGGGTTACTGCAGTCCCAGAGGTGTTCCATTGTGTGCATAAATGTACCACAGCTTTTTACCCATCTATACTGATGGTGTGCACTTGGACTATTTCTCTGGCGCCACTTTACCGCAGGCCTGAGAAATCTGAAAATCCTGAATTCAAGCCCAGCCTTTTAGGGCGTTTGTCAAGATAGGAGGAGACATGTTTTCCTGAGCCAACTTGTAGGCAGATTTATAGCATCAAATACTGAGACCCACCACGTGTGCTCCTCACCCGTTCCTGCCCCGTGGATTTCAGGGGCCAAGGCTCTCGGGGTTCCAGAGGGGACTGGCATGGCCCACAGTCCGTCCCCCCCGCCCCCTCGCCTGGTCACTTGTGTGAATGTTTGCAAACCCCCCCCTCCCCAGCTGGGCCTCTCAGACAGGAGGCTGCTCTAAATTGGGAGGAGGTCTAGGGTATCTCAGATTTGAACAAAACAGATTGTAATTGCGGTATTTACAGTAATAGCCGGGTACAAGAATCCAACGGCCAGGCCACCCACTCTCCATACTCCGGTGCCTGCTCTCCTCTGGGTGCATGTGTGCTCTCTCTGCCACCTTATCTGGAGGCGCCACTGGGTTTGGATGCCTATCAGGGTTGGGAGCTCTGGTCCTTGGGATAGTAGAGCTGCCCTGAGAGATGAGGTTGGCTCCTGGCCGTCAGCCTCAGCTTTCCTGCCGGGGAAGGGGGATGGATTGTCCCTGCTGTCAGGGTGGTCTCTGCCCTTGTGTCCCTGGGAGGAGGGGGCATGTGAGTGAGGACATTTGTCATCCGCGGGGCTGGACTTGAGCATCTGCCCTGTCAGCGGCTTGGAGGCGGGCAGACCGTGGGAGGGCCGCAGGATGGGAAGGTGTTCCATGTGAATTTCAGAAACCGCGGGGGAGGGCACAGTGTTCCCATGGCGATGGCGGTGGTGAGAGGGCGCTATCAGGGGACACACTTTGCCATCAACCAACAAATGTTTTGAGCATCTGAGAGAGATCATGAAATCATTGTGTCAGTTCTGAAACAAATCACAGCCTTTATTTGTCTCTGGTTGTCCAGTGTGAACATTTCCATCAGGTTATAAAGCAAACCCCATGCCGTGGGCGGGAGCAGTGCACCCCTCAGGGAGAGTCCCAGGAGATGGAGAAACAGGTGCTGCTGTGCTGCTTCCCTCCCTCTGCCCTGTCTCAGGCCCCGGGTCTTCCTGGCCACTCCTTCCCGTCGGGGCTGATGACACAGGGCTCCCGAGTCAGACAAGTCGGGGACCCACAGCCTAGAGGAGGTTTGGAAGCAGGACTCCTGACATAAAAGGTGGTTGTTTCCAGGAGGGTGGGTGGGCGCAGATCTTTCTGACCCCACAGGTGGTCTCCTGGCATCTGGTGGTATTTGGAGTTTCTAGGACCAGGCTGAAGCTCTCTCAGGATTTGGCCTAGAAACAATGATACATCCAGCGTGGGGCTGTTGGGCCCTCTGGTTTCACCCTTACCCTTTAAAGAAGAAACTGAAACACATTTGCGGCGTCTGCCCCGTAGGTGCCCTAGAAAACCAATGCAAAACGTGCAGCGGCAGAAATTCCACCTCCGGCCCAAGTCATTTAAGAAGCCGTTAAGCCCTGGCCTGTTTGGCTCGGTGGTTAGAGTGTTGGCCCATGGATTAAAGGGTCCTGGGTTTGATTCCTGCCAAGGGCACGTACCTCGGTAGCAGGCCCCATCTCCACCCAGGTCGGGGCAGGTGTGGGAGGCAACCAATCGATGTCTCTCGCAAGGATGTTTCTCTCTCCCTTCCACTCTCTGAAAAGCAATGGAAAAAATATCCTCAGGTGAGGATTTTTTAAAAAGCCGTTAAAATGGCATGTTGTCATTTTTAAATAAAGTTTGCTGTGTTTTAATATTCTTGGGGCCATGCGGGAACTCTGGAAATAACTATGCTTAGAGCCTTGTCCAGCGCTTGGGACATAGCAGGTGTTTGTTGGCTAACTAACTAAAGGGACCCGCGACCGAAGCCCCTTCGCTGGCTTCCCACCTCCTACCTTTGCTTCTGATCTGACTCCCATCATCATGAGATTGTTTTCACTAAGACGCCCCTTTGGCAGAACTCCTGGCACGGCGCCCATGGCAGTGCCGAGGGCGCTCAGCAGACTCCTGCTCAGCCTCGGAGGACAGTGCGCCTGGGCAGCTGCAGCTGGAGCTGACCGTTCCTCACCTTAGAGCCCAGGTGCCTTTAGGCTCCGGGGGTTTCTCCGCCTGGCGGGAGCTGGCGAAGGTGCCATCTGACAAAGCTCTGCTGCTGTGTGTGTGACAGGCTGTCGGCCGGTGAGCCCAGAGGAGGCTGTTAGTGCCTCCATGTGGGAGCCCGACCAGAGGAGCGAGGGCCAGGAGGGCAGAGGGTTATCAGCAGCCAACACGCGGAGGGCAGGGCGGGCTGTGTGCCCGAAGGTTGGGGAAGTTCTGTGAGTTTGATTAATTTCTGCTAAGTTGCTCTCTTATCTCTGCCAAGCCGCAGTATCTCGTGACTTCAGCAAACCTGCCCCAGACCCGAGTCTGTAGACTTTAACAAGCTGCTAAGTTTACTTGGCAGTAAGCCCAGTACCCCAAAGCCTTCCTTTGAACTAAAACCTGTCGATTGGGGGGCTCCAAGGGACACTCTCCTCCCGGGAAAATAGTGGTTCTTTCAGCATTCCAGACTCGCTACTAGCGATCACTAGAGCTCGGCCACTAACTTACCCTGGACACGGAGGATCGTGCAGAATTCCCCACAGATGCGACTTGGAGCAAGTCGGTGTTTCTGGTTGAAGTTTTCACATGTTACCGGGAACAGTGCTCATAGGGAAATCACAGAGCCGATTCATTTTTCATCTTTACTTTCTTGGCTGGTTCCCTGAACTTTTCAAGTTCATATGGGTTCTGAACCGTTTCCCGTGTCTCCCGGTGAAGGAAGGTCTCCTCGCCAAGGCGAATGCCCAGCCTGTGCATCTCGCCACCCGTGCGGCCTCCTCGGTTACAGGGCTCTCCTTCCTGACCACAGGGAGCCCTCTCCATCAGCACCCAGCAGTGCAAGCGGAGACAGCGGGTCTGCTGCTTCAGTCTGTATGAAGCTCCGTCCCTTGCTCCCAGGACTTTCCTTCCTTCCTTTGTGATTTCAGGTGGCTGTCTCCTCTCTGCCTCTCAGATGATTGGATGGTTGATGACTCAGAGGTCGGTGACTCAAGTCCAGGAAAGTCAAATGTCATTGTCATTTTAATTTCACTTGTTTTAATCCATTCAAATGTTCGTTTATGTGCGGAGAGCTTTGCTTTGAGTGTGGGCCTGCCGATTGCGTCAATGAGGCGTCATTTAAAATTTCTCTGACTTCAAGGTAGAATGAGAACCGGGAGAAGCTTCAGGTATCCCTGGAGTTGGAGAATTTTCTACCGAGTCTTTTATAGTTGTCTGTCCACACCCAGCCTGTCCTTCTAACAGGCCCTCTAACAGAGCTTTCAAAACAGCTCAACCTTTGCCATCTGTATGGGAACATCTCTCCTTTGGCACAAACGTTTTTTCAATTTACGTGCAATCACAGATGCGGGTAAAATAAGCAGACTGCGAACCAGTACGAGCAGTGAGCACACACTCACCTAGTTGGAGCAGGGCCGTGGACGCTCGAGCAGGCAGGCTGTTGGTGGCCCGCGGCCTCGGTTCTTGTGTGTGTCAGAGGACAGGGACACAGCTGGCCGATGGTGACAGGATGAGGCAGAGGTGGGTTCACCAGACACCTAGTACAGATTATACTGCTGAGTATATTTTTCTCACCCAGCTCAAGCTCAAATTACGCATTTCCATTTGCAGTTTGTGTTGGCAGCGTGGGCGTTTTCTCATAAACAGTGTCATTGTAGGAGAGCAGCCGTCTGCCCCTTGGTGGGAGAAACCCAAAGCAAAGGCCTTTCTGGCCCAGCCGAAGTGGGGACCGGGTCAGCCAGTGGGAGCGGGTCACTGCCCGGGAGCCCCCGTCCTGTGGGGACATGCGCAGGCTCAGGCTGTCTAGGGCTGGAACCCTTTTGGGGGGGAGTGGCTGCCCTGATGTGGTCGGTCCCTCGTCCTAAACGTCTGCTGCTGTTGCACACGGGTTGCTGAGGAGCAGGGAGAGGCCTCGATGCGCACAGGTGTTGACGTTTTTCCCTTTGCGTGACTGTTGGGACCAGCGGAAGGGGTTGGGGTGTGGCGGGTGAGCCAGCTGTGCCAGTGTTTGGGGAGGAAGGTTTCCCGGGTTAGGATGTGCGTGGTTTACACTGTTGGACTTTGCTCCATCAACTGCCGAGGAAAGGTGAAGCCGTCGCTACTTGGAATAAACCCGACACTTCACCAGGTACCGGCGTGTCTCCCGTGGGCGAAGAGGAGCTGTAGGGCCGTTTGCGTAGATTCCATTCCTGCGCCAAATGTGTCCTTTCCTTGTTTAGCCCGACTGCTGTCCATTCCTGGCCGAGCTGCTGCAGTGCGGGGCCCGAGGGGCGAGTTTGCGTGGGCGGGGCCCCTGGCCTGCTCACACCCGGCCGTCCTGGCCTTGCCGGGACGGGCGCTGGTCCCACCAGGAACAACTGCTTCATACGCCAAAGAAAGAAGACTGGGGCTCTGTTCAGTCCCACGCAGGCCGGCGGAGGCCTCTTGCC